ATGCATCAGTTCACTAGCAAGTGGTGCAAAACCAGCCGGTTAGTCAGCCTGTTCATTTCCCACAGCTGATGGAAGCAAAGAAGAAGAGGAGGTAACTAAGGAGTATTGATGTGAAACTGGCTTCCTTGTCCTACAAGAATCTTTAACCACAAAATCCAGCTAATGATTAACAAGTCTATGAAGTTCTAAATTATTCCCTGTTTGGGTTCAATGGGTGGGGAGGGGGGTAGTTAGGCCTAACAAGCATGTTTTAAGAGGTGACTGATTAGGGGTTTCCTTTATAGTCTGAGTGCTTTTGCCTAAGAGGCGAGGAACTAACAGTCTGCATACACACACACACACACACACACACACACAAATCTGTAAAATGGACCTGTACGCAAAATTCAAGTTCTAAATCAAGATTTACATCCATAAGTGGGCACACAACCAAAATTTATCTGTCGGAGTTTACAGCTAGTGAACGAAAAAAAAAAAAAGGGTTAATAATGAGAGAGAGACAATATGAAAGCTTGGCAGGCAGTGTTATCATTATCTCATATTGGCTTTATGGAGGCTGAAGATGATCAACCTATCTTCATTTCGCAGTAAAGAAAAATATAGACTAAAGTTTGTCCTGAGAAGTCGTGACAAGGAACATGAAACTGAATACTCATAGAAACATTGTACCTGATTTATATTATAGAGTGGTGTATTTCTTCTGGTAAGCATGGGCAAAGAAATTTGTTGGACCCTTGAAATAAGTTTAAAACACCATTCTTACGGCACTGGCTCTAGACTCTAATTGGCACTCAGTGTGTAATGTGGTCAGTGCTGACTGCCTTAAATTCTCAAGATATTTTGTGCTACCCATTAAGGCTGGGTCGTATATATTGAACACAAAAATCTACCTTGATGCATTCAACCTCAAGACCTTCCGGCTGGCAGGCGGGTAGCAGTGACAGTCCCATGGCTTCCCCCCCCCCCCCCCCCCCCCCACAAAAAAAAGTTTATAAATACATGTGTATTCTAACACAGGTACTCAGGGATGGAGCAAGGAATGAAGATCTCTATGAGGTGGCCAAACTGTTCGATCTGTATGATACAGCAGCAGAAGCTGAAGAAGCGGCTGCAAGTACTTCTTCAAGTTGAGTTTTTCTGGTCACTCTGGTCAGCTGTGTTATCCAGCATTATAAAATACCAGTTGCCCTTTCACATTAAAAATGTATTTGGGAATGTTTTTTTAAACAGAATGCTAATTTATAGACATTTTATATGCAGAGGTAATTTTTCTTTTTTTTTATAAAAGTAATTTGAACATTTCATTTTGTTAGAGTAGCCAGAACCAAAAATGGCTTGAACTTTGACATCTTTGGAGCCATCCGGCCCAGTTTTAATTTACCAAGACATGTCTGTCTCTTTCAGTACCTGGTTTTACCATTGATGTACAAAGGGAAAAGGGCAGGGTGGTAACCACTGTAGAAAAAAGTTAAGTTCTGCAAGCATTACTTTTAAGAATACCAGATGAAAATGTTCAATAGGAAAGGCAAATTTATTTTGTGTGCTGTGGTTTATTAATTGTTAAAATTACAAGAACATGTTACCTAATAATTGCTATCAAAAGGCAGAACAAATCACATATATATTTTTTAGGACTGAAAGAGTTAATATTTCCTTTACATGGCATTTATTTTACCTCAACTGAATTATGAAGGTTTGCAAAGTATTCTGTATATTAAAATAGATTTTTCTTAAAAAGTCATATTATAAATAATATAAGATTGGACTAAGAAGCGTGAAGTATTGTTTTTAAAGACAAAAACATTTACAGTAGAGTAGGAAAACACATTCCTCTGTATGATTATTAATGTCAGATAAAAGCAGGACCAGAGAAACCATGCTCACAATTTGTTTTATCATTGCAAGAAGTTTGTGGTGTGAAGTCAGTAAGTATGGTTGTTTTCAATATGGTAATACTGTCTTGTTAAAGCAAGGCAGTTATTTGTTTTTATTCTCTGCATTCTGACATGTTACATTGTTCTTTCCAGTGTGCTTTCAGTTCAGTCATTAATACAAAATTATTAGTAGCAAAGTATCATCAAAACAGTTTAATCACAGTTACAGCTTCACAGGTCACCATACAGTTGCTCAAGGAATAAAAGACACCTTAGGTAGGAAAGTGAATGCGATGGGAGAGCTGTTGAGGAGCCGTGTGTGTTTTTTCAGGCAGACTGTGATGGGAGATGTGTTGTGTTAACGATCTGCTACATACTGGTGATGATAGATTAAACTTATGAAGTTATGTACTTAGCTTGCTAGCTATTATTCCATGGTTGTAACGTACTGTGTTTTCCCAGAAATATCCATATGCATGGTAGAGCGTAATTAGGAAAATGTTACTGTGTCATGGTGGGGGCTTCAAATAAAAATCCTAAAAGTGTGATAGTAATTACAGTAACCATGCCACTGACTTAGAACATGTCAGCGGTTAAGGATGTCAAGACTGTTAAGCACATGGCATCACATTGCAGAAAAACCCGGTGACATAAGGTGAGTAAGCCAGCAGTCTGCAGTTTTCCTGCATGAAGCCTTTAGTGGCTGCAATTGATTCTGGGGTGACTACTTGGTGTATTTAAGCCGGTCATGAACAGAAGTCACGCTGTTTTGAAACTCCTTCCTCACCTGTAGACTTTCTGGACTGAGAGGCATGCATCACCCTACTGGACTGTCACTTGCTGATGGTTTGTATAGATTTCACCCCCTCACAGTCATGCACAACAGAACACTGCTTCTCTTTGGTGCAGTCAGAAGTGGGGTGGCCATCTTTAAACTGTCAGTATGACATCACATCATATTAGCCTGCACCATGATATAAAATCCTTTATTACATTTGGGATTTCAGGACCATTGTTGTGAGCATGTTACACTCTTGACATCCTTTAAAAAAATATTAACTGGTTACAGGACAATGGAATGGTTATTGTGAATTATACCACTTTTAAGTTTTCCTTTAAAGCCACTTTGTACATATCTGCAATCTAACCTATTTAGTTGGAACATATTTGAATTACCATGCTAAGACAACAATGTTTTGATGAAATTCTCAAATCGCAGCTGGGTATTATAAGAGACTTTCTTGTCAGTCACGGTTGAACTTCAGTTAAATTGTTGACCACATAATTGCTCTGTTCCTTTGCCAGAAAAAAAAAATCACATCAAATTCTTATCCCAAAAATGTTGAATAAAAAGCGGTCTTGGTAACAGTATGCATAGACTGTTTGCATAAAATAGTCTTTATTTTGCAAATCGCTGCTTTTGCTTGAGCTACTACATGTTGAATTTATTTAAAACATCTGTCTGTCTGTTGTGACCGGGTACCTGAATACGTGAACATATCTAATTCTGTGGTTTGCTGGCATGATAACATTTGTATGCTACACATTTTTGGGGAGTATCATCATCATCATGTAGCAGGTCCTTTGCAGAACGTCGCTCTCATCACGGTCTGCCTGAAAGAAACTCAGTCTCTCCCCAGTTCTCCCACCTCATGTACTTTCATACCCAATTAGTCACTTATATCCTGTGCCCATCTTCGTGTCGGTCGGCCCCTGCCCCTCCTTTCTGGTACCATGCCTTCTGCTATAATTTTTTTCCAATCCGTCATGGCGCTTGATATGACCAAAATATTTCAGTTTCTGAGGCAGGGTGCTGTTTATTAGCCAATTTTCTTTGATGTTCAGATCTTTTAAGATGTCAGTATTGGGGAGTGAGTATACCTAACAGAAATAATGCAAATTACATCATGACATCAAATGTAATCAGATTTTTTAAAAACTATATGAGTATGCTAGAGTTCCTCTAAAAATCTGGTAAAGATAATTAGGATTTGCCTGTTTTGTTTTAGTGTTTTGACTGTTAAAGCTCAAATGCAAATATAAGCAGAAAACATTGATAGAACTACCAGCATTGAGTTACGATTGTAACTAGTGATACCATCGTTTCATTTTTTCACAATAAAATGGAAAATGTATTTTTCGTTTGTTGATCTTCTGATTGTTAGTTCGGCAGCAACAGATTTGTAGATAGAACAAATGTAAACAATTGACCATTTTTAGAAGTACACAGAAACATGGATTGCATGATAACTTTCAGCAAGGCCGCTGGTCTCCTGGTAGGTTTTCTAACCAAAGGATCAATGGAGAAGAACCAGTAGTGTTGAACTGCAACATTTACTTCTTCGTCCCTTTTTCCTGCCAGTGGAGCAAAGGCCCTCAACCATCTAAGGCTGTGCTGTCCTTGGCTGTCGCATGCAGCTCACCGCATATCCTCACGGTCTTTTTAACTTTACTCTCTAGTTCTCTTTTCCAACGTGTGTGTTTTTATTATTATTTTTTTTTTTTTGGTTTGCTTTTATTCTTTTGATTGTGTGGGTCCCTTTTCCACACACCTTTAGGCATTTAGGGCTAGACCTATATTTATATAGACCAATGGGCACAAGATGGGTGATCTGGTCAGCATCACGCAGGTCACCTTTATTTCCTGTGACTGCAACCGGTACCCACTCAAGGCTTGGTCAACCCAGGAGTCAAGGTAATTTGTGAAAAAAGTCAGGCTTCACCAGGGAGCAAACCCACGACTTTCGGATCGGCACGTGAGCATCTAGTGGCTACGCCACATCGACGACGTAGTGCAGTATTTTGCGCACTGTTGTTATTATTACCATCATTTCAGTGTTAAAAATTGCCTTCTTCTCAGCAAATGTTGAATTAAGAATCGACATCCCAGCACTTGGGACGCTTCCATAAGCACTCCGTCCCCATCTTCAGCAGCAAGCGAAGATGAATTCACATAAAGAAGAACAAAATAAAAACAGCAGTAACATTCTAAATTTATTTGTTACTAGCCAATATTTTTAAGTCAATACTTCAAAAACAAACAAATATTCATAAGACGGTACTGACATTCATCCAGTATCACCACAAACTACATGCCAAACTCATTCACTCAACACTGCAGATCCATCAAGATCCTGTCTTGTTCATCAGTCGCTTTGGAAACCAGCCTGGCCTGGGTTTTTCCATCTTCACAACAAATTTTCCCTCAGGAGCCTTCTCACTTTCGTAAACAAAATCCACCTCTGATCTGGGGATGTTGAAATGCAGATCATCCCCCATCTTTACCTGCATTTCTTTAGTCTCCTTCCGCACTTTATCATAACAGTGACCTGGAAAAAGATAAAAAGCAGAAAAATAGTTCTCATAAAAACAACTATTCTTTTAAAAATCACAAGCAAGGCATAATTATATTGCTAAGAGAAATCTGTAAACTCCAGCAGAAAGTTGTTGGCTGTTTATCCACTTTTAGGCTGTTTGTCCACTTCTGGGCTTTGGTCTTGCTCCAGAATTAAGTTTTGTGGACATATCCTTTTTACGGATCTGGCTTATGTGTGCAGACTGTTGGCCCCCCACCTCTCGGGCAGATGTGTTCTGACTTCAAAGTCATAAAGGATGTTCATCCGATAAACACTTAAACCAAATTTGTTATTTAGAGTGAACATCATAATATGTCATATTGGCAGGGCACATTTTTTATTTCCATGATTTACCCATGAATTGGAATTGGGTTGCTGTGTGCCAGGGTCTTTTCCACTTCATGGTTTATGATCATTTATTTCCCGTGTAAGTTGCAGGCCCCAAAAAAACAGACCGGCTGCCCCCTTAAAATAATAAGCATATCGTAAAAGTCACATAATTATGGGTGTTTCTTTCAAAGTCGGAGTGCATGTGCCTCAAGAGGCCAGGAAACAACAATAAAGGTCTGCACACAAATATGCCAGATCTGTAAAATTAATGTGCTTGAAATACTCAGGTTCTGGAACAAGACTAACGCCCAGAATGGATGAACAGCCAGAACTTTCCATCGAACTTACAGTCGGTGAATGCAAAGAAGATTATTACATCTCTGGGGACTGCCAACTCTAAGATCCTGATTAGCTCAGTTTAAGTCTGAGGGAGGATAGCAGGCATCTTGCATGAGGATCCATAAAATCATAGCCATGGCAATTGGCATCTGAGGTGAGGCACAGTGGTTATAATTTTCTCTGCTGGTAACTGCAATGACAATACAGTACTAGGATGATCATTTATCAAGTACCATTCTCCCAATTAAATGGACTGATGAAACGACATCCAGAAGAAACATTATGATGAATGCTGATGAGAGAGACCAAAGGTGCCGGACTGGATTCCATCCATGATACTGACAAAACTGCAACGTATAGAACAGAATTAAAGAATAAACTAGGAGCCCCATGCAACATTAAAAAAAAATACATTGGGATGACAATGATTATTCTCCAAACTTTAAAAAAAAATATACGAAAACCTGTTTCCACATGTTGAGGCATATGGTTCTAGCCACACACTATTTGGTTGTCTTTCCCTTTAGATGGTCAGTATCGCTTGATCAGTCTAACATGGATTCCCAGTCGGACGGGTCAAGGGATCTGATTCCTTTCTATGTCAGACGGGTTAAGGGGTAGGGACCATCTTATTCCTATCCATGTCAGATGGGTCAAGGGATTGGGACCATATGATTCCCATCCACATCAGATGGGTTAACAGACAGGGACCAAATGATTCCCATCCACATCAGATGGGTTAAGAGACGGACCAAATGATTCCCATCCATGTCATAAGGGTCAAGGGATAGTGACTTTCTGATTCCAATCCTTGTCAGAAAGGTCAAGGAATCTGATTCCTATCCATGTCAGATGGGTCAAGGGATAGGGACCATCTGAAATCCACCCATGTCAGACGGGTCAAGGAATAGGGACCATCTGATTTCTATCTACATCAAACAGGTCAAGGGATAGGGACCATCTGATTTCTATCTACATCAAACAGGTCAAGGGATAGGGACCATCTGATTTCTATCTACATCAAACAGGTCAAAGGATAGGGACCATCTGATTACTATCTACATCAAACAGGTCAAGGGATAGGGACCATCTGATTCCCATCCAGGTCAGATGGGTCAAGGAATGTGATTCCAATTCATATCAGACGGGTCAAGGGACAGGGACTATAAGGAGAGCAATAAAACCAACCAGCATTACCTCACCTATTCTACCATGGTGTGGTGGCTAGATGTCCGCCTGCAGATCTTAAGATTGTGGGTTCAAATCTGAACAGGGAGAGATTTTTTAAAAAGTATAACACATAAGCAGGAGTTGCTGTAGCGTAGTGTCTAGACGCCCGCGTGCGGATAGGAAGGTCGCGGGTTTGCTCCCTGATGAAGCCTTTTTTTTTTTTTAAATGACCTTGACTTCCAGGTCGACCCAGTCTGAGTGGGTAGCGGGTGCAGTCCCGGGAAGTAAAGGCAGCTGGCGTGATACTGACCACATAAGCCATCTTGTGCGGATTGGTCTATAAAAATATAGGTCTAGCCCTATATGTGGAAAAAGGACCTTTACTTTTTATATCACATAAGCTCCTCTACCACTTCAAGGTGAAGACACAGACGTAAGAAAAGTCAAGTCTGCACTTACCACAGAGATGTCCCTTCTCTTTAAAGTTCCCACATTCCAAGCATGGTATTATAGTATTCTTTGGCATAGCATGTTCCATAAATCCAGTAAACCGATGTTTTCTAAAAAGCCGTTTTTCGAGCGACCGTCTGTGCTTGGGAACGGCCAGCAGGATACCATTAAATATAGATGTCAGCGGGGACTCCGCTGAACTGTTGCTTTGTTGAGCAGGTAGTGCTGAAGGACAAGCTGCTAGAGCAAGCGCTGGTGGTGGACCTAGGAAGATAAAACAGTAGAATGTCAAATACTGCCAATGTCAGTAGTTATAAAAACAGATATTAGCTCTATCAATATTTGTAGCAGCTGCGATTGACTGAGTGGTTCGAAAGCAAGGGCTCTCACTCTGGAGACGTGGCTGCATCCCCTGTAGGGGGACGATTTCTTCATTTTTAAAATTAATGTGACTATATTTCTATATTTGTTTAAAAATCTATTAGGTCTCATTTCCATGAACATAGTGATACATATGGTTGCTGAGGTTTCAACAATTTAAAGAAAAAAATTTTAGAATACGGTATATTTCGGTTTTTTTTTTAAGTGGCAAAAATGTGTTTTCTTCAATTTCCCAATTAAATATACACTCAGACATTCAATCATAATATTTCTGCTTGGAACAGAAGTAAAGACTTTGAAGAGCTTTCTAAGTATGATAGTTTCATTACTGAAAACAATCTTTTAAACATTGACTAATACACACTCATTTTATACAAGGACAGATTTTACAACATACTGCATGGCATATATTGATTATTATGTTATCTCGACAGACAATTGAATAGAACTCACAGAAACCAGCTTCAGGCCTCAGAAATGAGATATCTGAGAAAGGCTGTCCAAGTGACAAGAAGAGACAAAGTTTGCAGACAATACTTTAGGATCTCAAAACCCAGGCATTACAAACTTGAGTAGATCACAGTTACAATGGTTTGGACACATGCAGAATGGGACAGAAATGGTAGGCCAAGAACCAGTTAACCTGACCACCAGGGCAGCCCAGGGTTTGCTAGGAAGACAGTATCCGACAGTCCCTGACTGACAGAAGTTTGGTATGGAACAAAGCCAAAGAGAAAACTGCAGATAGCGAAGTCTGGTGATCTCTCTGGCAAATCTGACACCAAGGTAGAAGAGAGAAGAGGATCGATTAAAAAATTGTTAAGTGGCTGTGGATTTTACAAATACAGGTGGAATAATGGTAATTAACCATGTGATCTGTATGTCTGCCTCTTCACTCCGCACGACATGGTAATCATCTTGCCAGGCCCATTGGAAAATAACCATAAGTGTATACTGCATTTACTTCAAATTAGTGAGCTGGCAGACATTTCTATATGTTAATTAGGCCCATATTGTAACATATGTATTTAATAAATGCACAACAGTTAGGCATTGCGATTGCAATGATGTATCGTTGCTAGGGGGTTCATTAAAGTTATTGCCATAAAATGCTAATTTTGTTTTAGTAATTTTCATACGCTACATTTTATTTTTTTACTGGGCCACAGCCTGGAATCCATCTTTTGTCAGATTCAACTATAATTTGTTTTGAAAACCCAGCTTTGCTAAACAAAAAACCCAAGCAATACAAAGACAAAGAACAAACAAAAAAACCCAGATTGTTAAAATGTACAAAATGTCAAGTTACGAAACGAAACAATTACCACTTTTATATAAGGATATATTTTAAAAAAAAACCAGATTTCCCTGAGGCCTCTACATATTTGTTCCTCGGCAGAAAGTCCGACAATGGAAAGTGTCAACGGTCGCTATTATCGTCTGCTACTATCGTCTGCAGTGTTGCGTCTCTTAGAATTGTCAGGTAATCAGAAACAAGAAGAAACAGGTCCACAAGTAACATATCGCTGAGATGCTGTTAGAGCATTTGTTTTGTTATACAGAGCCGGCATATTTTTAATAGAACTGAGCCCCGAACGGATATTTCAGGCCGCCATAAAGCGGGGGTAGAAGTTCGGAAGAGAGCCAAATATATATTTACTGCTCTGCCAAAGAAAACAGGCACTTTAATTAATAATTATGAGAATAAGAAGCAAGATGAATCTAGTTAGTGAAGAATAGGGTGGATTTGTGGAAGGAAAAGGTACAAACAATGCCATATACTAAGGAGTTTAGTCAAAATTTATTTAATTTATTGTGTTTTTACTTTAAAACAACATCCTTGGGACTCTTTTGGAAAAGAGCTATAGAAGTAAAAACAAACAATCTTAACTTATGCTTCACTGACTACACGAAAGCATCTGACCGTGCAAAACATGAGGAAATAATCAAACTACTGGAAAAGCTAAGCTAAACATTGATGGAAAAGATGTATTTACTGTGTTATAAATTAATTATTATTCAATTATAAAGAACGATATTCATATTGAGCAGCCAACAGCAGCCATGAATGGGCTCTCCTTTCAACTACGGCCGGTAGACAACAGTAGACGGCCGGTTAGTCGGAGTTCTGTCCCATGGCTGCAGTGCAATTACAGACTAGAAAAGGCACAAATCAGAAAACACTGTGAGGTCGACATGCCTGGCAGACCCCGCGCTACGACTCAAATTAGCGACAGTGTTCAATTACCGCTTCTTGCGATGCAGTACGTTGTGGACTAAGGGAACAAAACAAGTGATATAATTATAAATTACTGTGTGTTGGCGATAGACAGCGTGCAGTGCCCTACTGTCATCATAGGGTTTGGGTTAAGTTTAGGGTTAAGGTTTGGGTTGCTACTATGATTTTGTGCGAAGACGAGATGCGGCGATACTAACCGTAACCCTAACCTACACCCTAAACCTCACCCTACCCCTAACCCAAACCGTATGATTATAGCAGGGCAGTGCACGCTGTCTGTCTATCACCAACACACAGTAATTATGTCATTTGTTTTGATCCGTCCTCTTCAGTCTGTAATTGCACTGCAGCCAGGGGACAGAACTCCGACTAACCGGCCGTCTACTGTTGTCTACCAGCCGTAGTTAAAAGAAGAGCCGAGTTAATAAATAACAATTAATTTGGGAATATTTCACAAAGTATAAAGAGGGAAGTACGACAACGATGTGTATTATTATCACCTGATTTGTTTTCATTGTACAATGAATATATAATGAGATCTATCATTATCACGGATATGCCAGGAATTTTGTTTTCATTTATATATGATAATCTGATTATATATAATCATATGATAACACAAGTGTTTAACACCAACAAAAAAAAAGAACTACAGTACAGAGTACAGGAGGCACAGGGGAATTCATTGATAGATAGATACGGCTACGGTGGAGTAACTAACTATACGCATGCAAACGAACATTACTTATTTTGAACAAAAAAGTTTAAAAAAAAATAATTTTACCGTTCCTCATCCACATATTAATTAGAGATTGTAAACCACTGGTGGAGATATTCCATTTCTGTGACAAGGACGAAAGGAAAGCTCTCACGATGGCAACCATTTTGAACTTATTTCAAACAACTTCCGCTGATGTTCCGAACTTCGTCTTTGGTTGTGGATCTTGGGTATGGCCCAAGGCCATCTTGAGGATATGAATATGCAGTCGGACGTGGTATGGCCAATGGGATTTTTTTTTAAAACCCAGCTTCGCTAAACAAAAACACAAGCAATACAAAGAACAAACAACAACAAAAAACCAGATTGTTAAAATGTACAAAATGTATAGTTACGAAACGAAACAATTACCACTTTTATATAAGGATATATTTAAAAAAAAAAAAACAGATTTCCCTGAGGTCTCTGAGAAAAACCCAGATCTGGGGGGGGGGGGGGGAGATCCAGCATTGGCAGCCCTGGGTATGGAGGAAGCGGAGGTTTGGAGAGAATTGTGGACCAGGAGATCAGGGTGAATCTCAACACTGAGAAGAAAAGTGAGACGGACCTACAGTCAGACTGCTACTGGTGCAACATGATGTTGGTTTTCAACTCATCCTTATCTTTGGAGACGAATAATGCTTTGCAATTTTCGACCACATAAAAAGATGTATAATGAGGTTTGAACAACGGATCAACATCACGGGTAGTTACCCATAAGTGCTCCGTTCTTCTTCCTTCTGAGTCCGAAGAAGCTAAGCATAGTGCACAGGCTCTGTAGCACCGGTGAGGATCCTGAAGTACTTTAGGTAGATTTTTAACTGCACATTTTGCCCGGATAGCGCGTTATACTACTCGTTTCTATTTTCAACTGCCAGTGGATTTTTTACGTGTGCAACAATACACACGGGCGTCCGATCTCACTTCCCAGAGACCAGGGAAATTACTAGTATTCCACGTGAACAGAAACAATCCCTGAACACATAAAAAATTAAAGCCATTGCACTTGTAACCGTGCCGGGGAGGAGGAAAGATAAAGTTGAATGTAAACGAACAAGAAGTAGACAACTGTGCAAGTGGAAAGAGCATGAAGCCAAGAACAGAAGTCTGATAAAGTGCACAGCCAGTGTGAGAGGCAGAGAGAATTGGAGTTGAGTCAAGAACTGACATCACAGCGCTCGGGGCATTCCAATAAGCACTCCATCCCACATCTTCAGCAGCCAGCGCAGTGTTCCACTACCAAAAGCAGTCTAGTTAAATGCCTTTTTTCTGAGCGCTGAGTATCGGCCAGATCCCCTCGTCACTTCTCGCTGCATCACTCTTACCAGACTGTGATGATCAATTTGCTATTCCGAATTTACACGTGTACAGTGTGATATTTAGAATATACATCTGATTGAAACTTGAATTGTTATTTTAATACAAAATTAGGTATAGGTATGTCTTGCTGCATTTGTGATAGTCTTTTTCTTCTTCTTCTTCTTCTTCTTCTTCATCATCATCATCATCATCTTCCTCTTCTTCAACATTCCGAGCCCTTGAGGTTCATTGCTGCAGATATCACTTGCCTACATTTATCTCTCCGGTTGGCATTCGGTTTCAATTTGGTTACATCAAGTGTTTGCAGAGCTGTCCGGATATTATCCTTCAATCATTTTCTTGTCTACCTCGTGATCTACAACCATTTATCTCCCTTGCAAATACAGTTAACCACGTCTGCCGTATCATGCATCAGTATGCTACCAATTTGTGTTGAGCCAAGTAATCTGTCTTTATTTCCCAACACACTGGCATTTCCTGGAGAAAAGATTCAGACAATGCTCTTAGCCTACGACCTCCGAAGCGAAGCATGCTATTCTGCACGAAACTTGGGTATCCTCACCTTCCTCAACTGGGACCCTTCCTTCTGTGTGACAGAGCAGGTAATTACAGGACGTGACCCACCGCAGGCTCTTCTCAAAGCTTGTTTTGATAGTACGAAAATATACGGGACATTTTTGTCCCTGTATAACAAGGGTAGCTGCAAGAGAATTTCAATTGGCCCGACATCTGCTGTTAAAGCAATTAATTCTGCGTGTCCTCGATTCAGTGTCTTAGTGGCTTCATTGACCCCTTTTTTCAGCTGCTTATCTTTGGAAGCCTGCTGTATAAGTTTCAAAAGCTGCCCATTCAATGTCTGATCTGCCAGGGGATATGCTTTATTGCTTATTTCTTCAGCCATGTTAAGTAGTCTTTAAATTTCATTCAGATGTATGTCTTTTTATTTCAACAATCTCTCTGTGAAAACACTTCGCTTCACTAAGTTGAGTTGAGTTGAATCAAAAATGGGCATCACAGCACTGGGGGCATTTTTATGCATGTCCGTCCTTATCTTCAGCATCTAGCGCAGAGTTCCAGTACTGATGGTACCGGTCACAATCTGGTTAAATGTCCGTCTTGCCTTTCCTCTGAGTGTTTTCAGCCGACCAACCCTCTGGTTACACCCAGTGCCTCATTCTCTCCAGGCCATAATTATCTTCTTTCTCTACCGATTCCGTTGCTTGTTCCCAAAGGGCCTTGACCACATCAGCCTTGTCATGTCATTCACCACCCAGTTTTACAGGTCCAGCCAATCTATCTGCCTGTTCATTACCCACCACGCCGGCGTGGCCTAGAGAAAAGATCAAAAGTATGCTAACTACCCCTGACCTTTCCAGTGAAGCTTGCCACTCTTCCCGAAGCATCCCTGCTTTCACTTTTTTCAGCATGCTTTCAGAGTCGATAAAATTACGACATGTGTATGCATCTCGTTCTCTAGCCACATGCGAGCTGTAATTACCGCCTTCACCTCCAGTCTTATGCTAGATATTGTGGTGTCATATGCTAGGCTGTCTTGCACTAAAGATTTTCCATTGGCTTTCGCTACGAACCCACAGGCACTTCTCTTTCTTCTTAGCACCGAACCACCTGTATCAATAATCAGATCACCTGGGCGTGATTTGTCGTGAATCAGCTGTTGGACTTCAACCTCTATTGCACCCGCTGGCAGAAACAAAGGCTCGGTGCTATATTAATTGGTCTGAATGAAGAGCCCAAAATGTTTCTCTTCTTTTTTTTTTTTTAATTGCTTTCCCAGGGACTGCATTCTGAATGATTGACGCCTAGCGCTTAAATGGCCACTCAGAAAGATCTTTACAGAGCACATTCCTATTACAGCCTATGTGAAAGAAACTCGATTACGATACGCCGTCCCAATCATCATCATCATCAGGTGCCTTGCCGACTGGCGTGGGCTATCATGCCTCTCCATAATCTGCGATTTCCTGCAGCATGTATCAGTTCGTGTGCCGACACACCTCCATGCCATGCAACAAGACTGTCAAGCATCTTCTCTCGTTGTCTTCCTCTATCCCTCCTTCCACAGATCTTTCCAGTGGTCACAACATGTTCTATTTTTCCCTCTTCTCATAACATGGCCGAAAAATGATGACTGTCTCCTTCTGATGTCTGTGATAAGTTGTCTTCGGGCTCCCGCCTCTTTCAAAATCTCTTGGTTGCTTTTTTTGGCTGTCCAATGTATTCTAAGCATTCTTCTGTAAAACCACGTCTCTGAGGCCTCTAAAAATTGTTTGGCCTGCCTACCGATTGTCCAGGACAATAGGGGACGATATTTTTTTAGATTTTTTTTTTAAAAACCCCACTCCAGCTGAGTGAGTGAGTGAGATTCAACCCCACCAGGACATCCAACAAGCGATAAATACCCGATAACACAAAGTACCATCATGCGGATGAGAATCACCCGGGAAGAGGTCACAAAAACCTCGTTCAACCCATTGGTTGAGTTATATTAGAGCCTCCGGCTACTGCCAGGGTGGGTGACTTGACTTGACTTTCTACCCCACTAGGACATCACACAAGCGATAAACACCCGATGACACAAAGTGTCACCATGTGGATGAGGATCGCCGTGGAGAGGTCCAAGAAACCGCGTTCAGACAATTGGCCATTCCATGGCCTGCCTATATTGCGGCCCCCGGCAAAAGCCAGAGTGGGGCTTCAAATAACAAAAGGGTCTTTAAAACAATAACAAATTGCCTCTGACACTGGGGCGCAGTGTGGTTTCAAGGGTACTGTTGCTATTGTCAGGAAACCAAATATAACCTAACTGTTGAACTGGGTTTCTAGGATTTGTACCCGAGTGATCCTCATCCGAATGGTGGCATTTTTTTGGGTCACCGGTGGACCTTTTGGGTTACTAATTAGCCAAAAGGGACGAGAGGGAGCTGCATTGTCTCGAGGTATAGAGTCCGGCTCGAGGTTCCGGGCTCAACCCCCGATAAAGGCTGGATTTTTTCACGTGGACTTGGACTTCTAGTAATTTCCCCTGGTCTCAGGGTAGTGAGATCAGACGCCCGTCTGCATTGTTTCGCACGTAAAAAATCGCTTGGCAGATGGAAATGGAAAGGAGTAGCCTGTGCAAAATTTAGAGTAAAAATATACCTAAAAGATTTCAGGATCATCGCCGGTGCTACAGAGCACTGTGCTGAGGTTTTTCGGACTCACACGAGTTAGAAGAGGAACGGAGCACTTATAGGTTACACGCGTGTGCCATGATGTTGATCCGTTGTTCAAAACTTCAAACAGGCGAGAATGTACTTTAAAGAGCGCAGAGTGGTTTGCATCACTTGATGAGACGCACACAAGTCGAATGTCATAAATTCTCTGCCCATGAAATTCATGTGTTCGGGGTAACGAGTAGGTTGATAGATTAGCCACATCCACGCCTATGGGCGGTGAGCTACTTTATGATAAAGCGGATGTATTGACGGCTCTCTGCGATCACGTGGTCGATGCAAAAGAACAGAGAATCCTTACAGTGACGGACTAAATTAATGGGGCTGGAAGAAGTTTGAGTTCTTGAAAAATATTTAACACTGAAGCAAAAACAGGCAGGCAGACTTTAAATTAGGTTGCAACTCGTACTATTAGCATAGTGCCAGTTCTTGTTGCATTCATTCATTTGTATTCATTCATTAATGAATTCATATTAGTGTTTAATTAGGAGAAGAGACCGAAAATATTTCTTTTTTAACTTTACTTCTACCATGGAATGTCTGATGTTTTTTCTGACGAAATATGAAATAGGAAAAATATACTCTGAAAACCCAATATACACTTTACATCACAATTATAATCCTGAGGGCTGAGCATTATATTTGTTATATGAAGATTACAGTGATTACTATTCTAGCAGATAATGTATTGCCAGACTGGCCATCTGAAGTAAGTTCTTCGCTTTTAAAATTTAAGCGATGCTCGCAAGGAAACTGTAAAACCATAGCTTTAAAAAGAGTTCCGTATATAAGGTTTATACGCAAGGAAAATAATTATATATGTGCTATCCTGATATTTGAATAATTGTTATTATTAAAAAAAGTGTTGCCAATTCGCCAAGTTGCATTTAAATGATACATTTAGCGCTGCCCTGGCTAATGTTTTCGAAGTGAAGGCGGTATCCTTGCAGATTGTTCACATCGTCTTCTTTCACATTATTTTGTCAATGGATGTAATTATAGGTAAATTTTAACTATCGTATTCTTCTTATTATTCATGCCGTGTAACGCCGATAATTATATATGGCTACATTTGTGATCAATTCAGATGAATTGAGTTGAATTTAAATTAAGAGCTGACATCACATTCACAACACTCAGGGCATTCCCATGCGTCGTGAACTGAACTCTGTCCTCATCTTCAGCAGCCAGCGCAGAGTTCCAATAAATACTGATGGTACCAGTCACAATCTGGTTATATGTCCGTCTTGCCTTTTAGTGAGCCGGCCAGACACTCTGGTTTCACCGAGGTGCCTCATTCTCTCCAGGCCAAAAATCTTGTTTCTCTACTGATTCCGATGCTTGTTCCCAAAAGTAAAAGTAAAAGGCCTTAACCACATCTGCCTTGTCATATATCAGTTCACTACCCAGTGGTGCAGATCCAGCCAATCTGTCTGTCTGTTCATTACCCACTATGGTGGCAGGGCCTGGAGAAAAGATCCAAAGTATGCTCACTACCCGTGACCTTTCCAGTGAAGTGAAGCTTGCCACTCTGCTCGAAGCATCCCTGTCTTCACCTTTCTCAGCATGCCTTCAGTCTGTTATAGTTATGACATGTATATGCATCTTGTTCTCTAGCCACAGAAGAGCTGCAGTTACCGCCTCCACCTCCATTCTCATGCTAGATGTTGTGGTGTCGTATGCTAGGTTGTCTTGCACAAAATTTTTTCTATTGGCTTTCGCTATGAGCCCCTAGTCACTTTTCTTTCCTCTCACCACTGAACCATCTGTATAGATAATCAGATAACCTGGACGGGAATTGTCGTGAATCAACTGTTGGACTTCCACCTCTATAGCACTCGCTGGCCACTCTCTGCACTCCCGGCAAAGTTCAGATGAAATGATGAACGAAAATCTTCATAATCTTCCATGATTGATGCCAAAAAGTGACAAACTGTCCCTTTCTGTTCTCTTCTTCTGTTCTCTTGTCTGCTCAGAGCTTCTAACTTGATAAATGATGATGTCTCCCTCTGTCTGTCTCTCTTCCTCATCCCCTGTAACAATATTTTTATACAGTAGTTTAGACCAGTGGTTACCAGCCAGTGCTCATAAAAGCCAAAATTCATAATGATTCAGCATGCACTTCCCAGGGGCTCAGCAGCCGCTGCAGGCAAAAAAATCATTATTAATTGAATTGAAAATTGCCATTCCATTGCTGCCTGCCTGCGTTTAATACGTTTTCTGTGTAGCCACACCAAAAAATGGTGGGGGAGGGGAGGGGTGGTGGTCTTCTCAGAGATGGTGCTTTCGTTAGCCACGGACCGTGCAGGTTAAGATTAATATTAAAAAAAAAAAAAAAAAAAAAAAAGAATTTAAGAAACAAAAAGAAGAATTTGCTGCTACTAGCTCCAAAATTATTTAAAAACAACAAAAAGAGTAAGCAGATCCGTCACATGCTCATTGTCATTATTATGGTTATTTTGAAAGTTATAAAATTTCACATTGGCACTCTGAGTGCAATTTCAACATTCAGGAAAATAGATTTCAAATTGTCTAAAATTATCTTTCTGCACTCTGCAGGGAGAGATTCACAATTTTAACTTAGAGCCACTTAGTGCTTGAGATGCTTATTCATTGAAAAAGTCATTATAATTTAGATCTTTGTGATACATACTAGCCCGATGTTCACACTTTTTCTTTAGTTCATCAGAAGCAGTGGTTTCTTAATATGTGAATAAGCCTCTGCACGTATTGTCAGTTCAGAGATTAGTGTCCACCTTGAACTTTTCGGTTTGAGTGTACCTCTTCACACAGCTCAGCTGATCCATCATATCTACTAAGACACAGACTTCGTTATCATTTCCGTTTTTTCCTATCACCGTAATCTGTATCTGGACACATACTCCTGGCTTTGAAATTATATTAACTAAATTGGTTCATAGTTTCCTGGAGATAGGTTTTAAAAACGCAAGAATCAGGTAAACGCAGTTTCAGCTTCATAGCAAATGGGTCACCCTTTAGTTGCTCCGTTCCTGCGCCAGTAAAAACCTCACAAAATATCCAACCCTTATCAGCAGCTCACAGTTTCACACTATACACTCAGCTCAGTGGCTGGGCAACGAAACTAGATTCAAGAAGATTTGTGGCAACAAGATGTTCACATCCTATGATTGGAGGATGCTTGTTTTATTTATGTATTCTAACGTGCCATTTCAAAGAATTGTGAGAACAGTTGTTTCCAATTTTCCACGTGCGTGTGTGGCTTAATCCCTTTGTTTCTCTCCTTGTATCTACCAGCTGTTCATTGTCAACTGATAGGAAATCCAGAGCATGTTTTATTTTCTCGAAACCCCCCATACAGAGCACCAACTATCCTGACTATCGTGTGTCAGATAAACACTTGACCACAAAATCTTTTCCTCAAAATGACGTCAGTACATTTCACAGATAAGTAGAACCAGCAAACAATTAATACAGATGCTGAATAAAGTCAAAGAATTTATATAGCCAACCATCTGCTGCTTTTACTTCCACCAAGTGTCCAGGATGTGCCCAGCTCAGGGGGGCATAGGTGAATCTGCGCTTGCAATTCAGTATATCGTCCAGACATATTTGAAGATTTATCATTTGACTGACCACAACAGTATTTTGATAGGGGAATTTTGTTCTCATTAAGAAAATTAACAATGTCAGTTGGATGCTTTACTCTGTGAGGAAACATGGGGAGCTTCTACTTCTTCTATGTTCACCAGCTGTAAGCCCTGGCGGAAAGTCCTAGTTATTGCCCATTTGGACTTTGGCTTTGTGCAAAGACTTGAGTTTTGTGTTTACATCCATTTTACGGGCTTATTTGTGTGCAGTTGGTTGTTTCCTTGCTGCTTGGGCAGATGCAATCTGACTTTGAAGGAAGCCGCCTCCCCCCAGTTAGTCGACATGCTTGCTGGTAAACCAGTCATTCTATTCTTGTTTTGCCTACAATGGGACCTGGAGAAAACATGGGGATGAACATCAAGAAATTTTCTATATTGGGGGGGAGGGGGGGGGGGGGTAATATATATTGGTTTCACATTACATATAATTAAGTGTCAAACATATTTTTATCTATGACATGTCATTTTGCACATACATATTAGCATGGGACCCATATATGCTTCTGGGCAAGTTCCCATGTGTTAAGACGGTCCTGTCCGGGAAGGCTAACCTGGTGATCAAATGCCTGATGAAGTTGGATGTCGGCCGAATGGAACAAATATCGCAGGTGTGCTGTAAACGGGTACTATTCAATTGTGTCGCATGGACGAACAAAAAGATGAAGAAAGTCATATGAGGCTGAAAGACGCACCCTGAACAGAACAGACCAAGTCACAGTTTTTAACTTACGCACTGGATGCCGCAGACTCATCTAACACTTAAACAAATTAGGTATGAGCCAAACAGCTCTGCCAGTGTCTTCTTGCTTAACAGACTCCAGAACATGTCCTGCAAGACTGTCCTGTCTTGGTGGAGCTGCAGAGCAACATGTGGCAACACCCAGTAGACCTGACAACTAAGCTTTCGGGGAAACCTTAGAGATCTTGAGATGACATCCCAGTTTATGGACCACAGTGGAATATGTGCATGACCAGAGATTGCTGAAGAAAAAGAAGAAGAAAGACGCACGCACACATTGCAGACTAGCTGTAAAACACAAAATAACAATCCAGCTGCTCTTTTAACGACGAATACAGAGGAATAATTTCTTTAGGAATTTTATTATTTCCTAAGAACTTTTTAAATGTTAAGAATTGTATAACAAGAAAAAAATGAATTTTTTTTTTCTCCAGATACAGAGAACCCTATCATGAACAACATACTTAAGTTTGCAGTAGCAGAAAATGTTTGTATAGAAATTGTAGACCAGCCCAGTTTGAACTCAGCTGGAGTCGCACTTGTGAGCAACAATATAGCAGGTAGTCTGCGTCCACTTTTGAGCAGCAAACTCAAGAAGGAAGCATTTTACTTTGTTAGTGGTAAACAGAAAGATACCTTGAATGAACATTTTAAATATGTAGATGTCTCCTGTACTACAGAACCATGTGATTTGGATGTAACTTCCAACTCAAATAGATCCAGTGTGACAGTTTCAGACGGCTGCAGCATGATTGGATCACCCCTGAAGCTCCAGCATATCGCAGATTTATCTTCCACAAAATCCTGTACATCAACACCTGTTTTTTCTGAACTGAACAAGTTCAAAAGTGCAGCTTCACCTATACCTCTTTGTGATGCCAAGAAGGTGCTAGTGAAATTCAACCAGGGAAATATGCAAGGATCGTCTGCGAACTTGATGGTCATTTTTTGTGACGGAAAGGATAATAAGAAAACCATTATTCTGGGAACACAAGTAGAAAAAGATAATGATGGAAGGATTGTCAAAACCTTCAGAGTAACTGCAGATACAGCAAAGCTTGCAGATCTAGATCAGGCCTCAGATACAAGAGGTAAGTCATCTGTTGTCATCTTCTGAAGCATAAACATTAAACATATGATATATTTCCCTAGGTGTGTTACAGCATGACCTTTTGTATAATTATCGTCATCAAGTGCCTTGCTGACTGACCAGGCGATAATGCCTCTCCACTTGTGATCTTCAACATGTATCAGTATTTGCATAGTAATCTTCTACTTCTTCATCGCATTCACCGGCTGTAAGTTCTGGTTATTTGCCAACTTCTGGACTTTAGTTTTGTTCCAGAATATGAGTATTACATGCATATCTGTTTTACAGGTCTGGTTAATTTATATGCAGACTGTTGGTTCCTTGCCTCTCTGGGAGACACACTCCAACTTTGAAGCAAACCCTCAGTTAGTTGACTCTTACCACATGCCTGATAAGAAGGCAGTGGGTCCCTACAATAGATCTCTGGAATCCACACAGGAAGCATAGTAATCAGTGCATAATATCCTCTTTCAGACATATTTGACGGTGCATTGATGCGTGCCCCATGAGCAGGGAGCTTCCATGTGCACAATGTGGCATTCCTTTCGGTGGGCTTTTTTACACCAGTTTTCTGTTTGGCATTACATCTGCCATAGAAAATACTTTGGATCTCTTCTCCAGGCTATGCTGGCGTGTTGGGTAATGAACAGGCAGACAGAGTGACTGGATCCGCACCACTGGGTAGTAAATTGATACATGACAAGGCAGATGTGGTCAAGGCCCTTTGGGAACAAGCAACGGAATCAGTAGAGAAAGAAGATTTTTATGGCCTGGAGAGAATGAGGCACCTGGGTGTAACCAGAAGGTCTGGCCGGCTCACTACACAGAGGAAAGGCAGGACGGACATTTAACCAGCTTGTGACCAGTGCCATCAGTATTGGAACTCTGCCCTGGCTGCTGAAGATGAAGACGGAGCATGCATGGGAATGCCCCTAGTGCTGTGATGTCAATTCTTGACTGAACTCAACTGCCATAGAGAATGCACACGACTGCCCTAGTGGAGTTCTCAAGAGACATCACCTGTGGATTAGAGAATGAGGAAGTAACCACACAAATGAGGCTACAGTGACATCAAATGTTTATAGGTCTATGTGGATATTATTTCTCCATCATCTTGGTCTGCCTTGTGGTCTACAACCATTCAGCTCTCTTTTGTAAAGTTTTTACCTCTCTGTCATCTGACATACTTTCAGTATGCCCCAGCCATTTCAGTCTGTTACCTTCATGATGCCAGTGATCAGTGGTGATCTAAATAGATTATAAATTTCTCTGTTGCTTAGGGGCTGCATGGTCTCGAGGCTTGGTGTTCGCCTTGCGTGCTAGAGGTTCCGGGTTCAATTCCCTGTAAGGGCTGGGATCTTCTCACGTGGACTTGGACTTCTAGTAATTCCCCCTGGTTTCTTGGTAGTGAGATCGAACGCCCATGTGCATTGTTGCGCACATGAAAAATCCCTTGGCAATTGGAAATCGCAAAGAGTAGCCTAACTGTGCTGCCTGGGCAAAATGTGGAGTTGAAAATCTACCAAAAGTATTTCAGGATCCTTGCCGGAGCTACAGAGCCTTTGCACTGTGCTGAGCTTCTTCGGACTCAGACTTGAGTAAGAAGAAGAACGGAGCACTTATGGGTTACTACCCGTGTGCCATGATGTTGATCCGTTGTTCAAAACCTCAAACCTCTATTGCTTTTCATTCTCCATTTCCTGCTTTTTTGCATTTCATGTGACTTTTTGTTAGTTAGGTATGTGTGTTGCTGCATGTGTTTTGCTCTCAATTTGTTTCATATTCCGTGTGACTTTCAGTAATTAGGTATGCATATTGTAGGTGTGTGTGTGTCATATTCATGCTCTCAACTTGTTTAACATTCCCTGCTCATCATGGTAAAGATTCAACACCACAACATTGAGGACAAACCCATATTAGCTCTACCTCCCTTCTCAACAGCCAGCGAAGAGTCTCCCTACTGATGGTACTCCTTATGTGGTTAACTATTTGTCTTGTCTTTCTTCCGAGTGGCGCCCAGAGCCCACAGACACTCCCCGCTGCAACATTCTCTCCAGGTGCTGATTTTAATATCTTAAGATTCTGTGTGACTTTGGTTACTCTTAGAAATAACCTGCTAAATCTTCTGCTACTCCCTCTGCTGCCACTTGGTGGTGTAGGACGAGGGATGTGAGCCTGAGGATTTTAGGTAGCCTGCCCAATGCAGTCGCAAGAACTGCCCAGCTTAAGATTCTTATTTTTGCACAAGAAAATATCAGAATCTTGCCGAGTTTTGAACCATGCTCTGTTATGGAAAGATTTTCACGTATTTGTTTCAGGGCTCCAAAATTGGGAAAACAAGACTAGACCCACTGCCTCCTTAACAAACATGTCATAAGAGTAGATTAATTATGGATTTCCTCTAAAGTCAGATTGCATCTGCCTAAGAGTCTAGGAAATAACAGTGCATACAAATAAGCCAGATCTGTTAAATGGATGTGCAGCACTCAAATTCTGCACAAGGCAAGTCCAGAAGTGGATGGACAACCAGAACTTTTCGTTCGAGTTTACAGTCGGTGAACGCAAAGAAGAGGCGGTCCAAGTGATAAGAAGGGGCAAAGTCCACAATCAGACAATACTACAAGATCTTGATACCCAGGCCTTACAAACCCGAATGGATCAGTCACAGTTACGATTGGTGGACATGTGTGCAGAATGGGAGAAAATTAGCTGCCATGACAGGCATGGAAGGCTCATAACCTGGGAACCAGACCCAGGGTCCACTGGGAAAACAACATCGACAGTCCCCAACTGACAGATGACTGGAACAAAGCCAGGAAGAAAACTGCTGATAGAGAAATCTGGCGATCTCTCTGGCAAACCTCTACACCTCAAGATAGTAAAGAAGCTACCAAGTAAGTAAGAAAGAAGAATACTTAAAGAACTAAAACAGTATTAGAGGTTTAATAAGGCATTTGTAACTCATCAGTAATCATTGTGTCTCAATACTCTTTCTGCTCAGGGCAAGGACATCAGCTATCTGCGCTTTATAAAATTATGGATAAAATAGATGGCCTGGGATCGCTTGTGCTGGAAGCTAGATGGTCAGATCGGTGCGGTAGAATAAAACCGAAACTTCAGTCAGCAGAATTTCTCTTACACATAGACATTGTTACAGGTAAGTGGTAATATTTGCTGTTGCTGGTAATTATTGCTTTTGCTAGAGGTAATAATGTATAAATGAATAAGTGTAATAGTAAATTACAATGGAACCTCAAATACGAGTTTTTCAGGATAGGAGGTCAAGCTCGCTAGTGTTTTTGCACCAGAATACGAGGCCAAATCCGAGATGCGAGCTGGAAAGACAAGAACTCTCTGCTTACCCGACAGAATCTAGATAACTTTAAAATAGGTCAAGTCACGTTGACATTGCTGAAGGATGACTTGAGGAGGACAGAGCACTTGATGATGATGGACTGGAACATCATGGTCAAAAGTAACCCCATTTTCTTCTGTCCGCAAAAAAAAAAAAAACAAGCTGTGCCACATTTTCCCCATTAGAGAAATGAAAATGTTGCTTTGAAGCTAATAGGGAGATTTTTTTTGGGGGAGAGCTGGAATGGATTTAAATTATTTACACAAATTTAAATGGGGGAAATTGTTTCAGGATACGAGCTCAGTCATGGAATAGATTAAACTCCTAAGTTTAATAGTATGCAGTCACACCCAATGAATAAAAGGTTAGATGATCTGGCATTAGGGCGTCTCAAACGTAGCAGCTTTGTCCATCGGGGGAAAAGACTTAGAAGACAGTACCAAGCTGATCTACCTATTAGAACAACACCGCTGAAACCTACCCTATACCCTGTACCTTGGGAGCAAGTCAGTGATACAATACAGATAATGACTTCAGTCAATGGATTCACAACTGGAGATGAGTCCAATGATCTTCAAAAACGAACAGCTGCTCTTAGCATGATTCATGAAAACTATCCCGAACAGTCATGGATACATATTTACACAGATGGATCAGCAACCAGCGCGGTTAAAAATGGGGGTGCTGGAGTCTTTATTACATACCCAGGCAACCACCGCCACACAAAGTGGATACCCACTGGTAAATTCTGTTCCAACTACACAGCAGAGATTGTAGCACTAGAGCAGGCTGCCGAAATGTTACACAACACCAGTTCTGACTGCCACCAAGTGGTTATATTCACAGATGCGCTTTCAGTGCTTCAAGCCCTCAAGAGTGGCAAACTCCCTCACTTGAGATCTAAACTTGGCAAGGTGGCTGCCTAAAAGTGTACTGTACTCCAGTGGGTGCCATCCCACTGTGGTATACCAGGAAACGAAACCGCAGATAAACTTGCTAAAAAAGGGGCAGAATGTGACCAAGAAGAGAATGCAGTAACATACTATGAGAAGAAAAGGGCCATCCAGGCTATCAGAAGTGAACAGAGTCTGGCCAGAGATGACTACCACTTACTTGACCGGCATGGGCAGGTCATTGTCCTACGTCTCAGGACAGGACATAACAAACTTAACCAGCATATGCACAGGCTTCGTCTAAGTAGTTCACCTTTTTGCCCTTGTGGGCTATGTGTGCAGACTACAGAACATGTCCTGCAAGACTGTCCCTTGTTCAGCCCATTAAGAAAGGAATACTGGCCCAGTGAGTCACCACTGTACACAAAGTTGTATGGGACTAAAAATGAACTCATTAAAACAGTCAAGTTTATCACAAGAACCTGTCTGTCGGTGTAAATCAGAAAGCGAACACAAGAAGAAGAAGAATTAAACTCCTATTCTGAGGTTCCACTATATATTGTCAAGTTCCTCTTCTTTTCTTCTTTTTCTCTTTCACTGACTCTAAACTCCGGCAGAAAGTTTTGGTTGTTCCTCCACTTCTGTACTCTAGTCCTGTTCCAGAATCTGAGTGTTGCGTGTACATCCGTTTCACAGGTCTAACTCATTTGCATGCAGATTGTTGGTTCCTTGCCTCTCAGGCAGATGTATTCCTACTTCGAAGGAAGCTCCCAATTAGTTGACTCCTACGACAGGCTTTTGGACAGGCAGTGGGTCTATTCTTGTTTTCCCCACAATGGGGCCCGGGAACCCACACAGTAAGTTCCTCTTCCGTATCTCAGCATTGTAGCGGGAAACGATTTTTTGGGGGGTTCCATTGACTCAAAGAGCTCTAGTGGAGGTTGCCTAGATATTGACCAGGTCTATCAGGTTGAAGTCGGTTGGTAGGAGTAAGCAAACTGTTGGGAAGCAGAGATGCTAAACCACACAAGATGGTGCACCAGGACCAGGGCTCATACTGGTCCAGATCTATCTTCACCTGTGTGGGGTCATCCTAGAAACAGGCATTTCCCCCTGGTACCTACTTCAAAGTTGGAGCGCATCTGAGTTAGTTAGTCGACAAAATATACTCATTGCACATCAAACCATTCAGCCCATAAATGCCCAGCTGACAACATGAAGTCCTGACTGGGTGATGTGCCTAAGGTAGCCATGTTAAACATGAAGTCCTGACTGGGTGATGTGCCTAAGGTAGCCAAGTTATACTTGAAGTCTTGACTGGGTGATGTGCCTAGGTAGCCATGTTAAACATGAAGTCCTGACTGGGTGATGTGCCTAAGGTAGCCATGTTAAACATGAATTGCTGCTCATTAAGGTAGCCATGTTTAACATGAAGTCCTGACTGGATGATGTGCCTAAGGTAGCCAAGTTATACTTGAAGTACTGACTGGGTTATGTGCCTAAGTTAGCGGTATTAAACTTGAAGTCCTGACTGGGTGATGTGCCTAAGGTAGTCGATTTAAACTTAAAGTCCTGACTGGGTGATGTGACTAAGGTAGCTGAGTTAAACATGAAGTCCTGACTGGATGATGTGACTAAGGTAGCTGTTAAACATGAAGTCATGACTGGGTGATGTGACTAACTCTTTAAATCCCAGGGGGGTTTAGCATCACAGGCCCAGGGGGTAGTAAAGAAATTAATAAAATTGGCGCTTCATGCGTTCGTTGGGCTTCTAGATAGGAACCTGTGAACGTATGATGCGTTCCTTGGGACTCAAAGAGCTATGGTAGCTGTGTTAAACATGAAGTCCTGACTGGGTGATGTGACTAAGGTAGCGTGTTGAACATGAAGTCCTGACGTGGTGTGACGTCCCGACTGGGTGATGTATCTAAGGTAGCCGTCAGTCCTCCACAGCTTGTCTTTCAGTAGCTTCTTTGGTCCAGACCTACAACCTCTGCTTGGAGTATATGGTTCTGCAGCACATGTTGGGGAGTCAGTCTGCTCCCTACTTACAGTTGGTGGCAGATTCTTTTTTGCCTCTTTAATATAGTTGTGCTCTGTGATCGCATCATCCTCTCCGAAGCCTACAAATTATTGGTCCTTTCTGTTGAGATTGTTTACGCTGTCACTCTCCGGTCTGCTTGTTTCATTAATTTCTCTTTATGGATCATATATTAAGTACTAATGAATTGTCTCTCAATGCTGCAGGTTCTGACCAGAGTCCAGTATTCAGCCATTACTGTCAGCTACAAAAGGTCAAGCTTCTTCTGGACGGGCTCAAGTCTAAAGAAATGTCTGAAGTTTGGTCCCAGAAAACGCAAAAAGCTGCAGCACAGTTGCAAGAGTGGTTGACTAAAATGAAGGTATGTCACTGATGATTGCAACTGAGATTTATAGCATTGACTAGGGAAAATCCACTAGACTTGCTGAAGACCGCAATTTTGTCTTTCTTAAATATGTAGATAACTATACAGATTCAATCTTGATGTACGGAAGTGAATCACGAACAGTCACCTATTTAGTGAGAAATTATGGGGAACCTGTGGTGTTCTAAATAAGGATAACACCACCGACAGATAAAAGATGACCGCACAAACAGTGGATTAAAATAGGACGACTGTAAATATGAATGATGGACTAAAACCCAGACTATTGTATATTCAGACAGGTGTACTAAAATGAGGCTGTTGGACTGCACAGACAAACAGTGGATTAAAATAAGGCGGTTAGACTGTACATGTAAAACATGGACTTAATCACGGCTGCTGGACTGCACAAACAAACAGTGGATCAAAAGAATACTGTTGGTCTGTACATATAAAACATGAGCTAAAAACAAGGCTTTTGGACTGTATACTCAAAAGGAGGACTAAAAGAAGACTTGAACTGTGTAATCATTTTGATAGACAAAAAAGACGCATTGCAGCTGGCTTTTATTCAAAATGGTAAAACAATCTGATATGATTCTGGATTCCATTTGTAGTTGGTTCACTTTCAATTATGCTTATGGCCTTGGTTTCTGTAACTTTTTCACTATTACACGCTTAGGTTATACAGAAAATATTAGAAGTGTTAATGTTTTTAGTCCCGAGCAGCACATCCTTTATAATAAGCTCTTCCTCTTGAATTTCCAACTATCAAGTAATGTGTTCTTGAAGATTTTATATTTGACCAAAGCATACTTAAGAAATCTGGCTTCCATAGTGACCTCTTCCACTGAGTATTTAGCCTCTCTGATCGTCGTGTAATTTTGTGTGATTTTTTCATAGCAGAATTTTTTCCTGGGAATCTCCTGGGAAGCATAGTGTGACTGAAAGAGTAAAATTATCTATATGTTCACTTGTTACTTGTTGCCCATATTAACATCCCAGCATAAGGATCTGACCAATTCTTGCTTTACCCTCTGATGCAGCAGCCAAATTAGTGTGTCTCGATGGTCAACGTACCCAGTAGAAGTTGATTGGCATATCTTCTTTCTTTGCTTCACAACCAGCTTTCACATTTGATACCCATTTCCAACAGGCCTGTGATCATCCACGTTTTCTGTAGTACAGTCATCAGCTTATGCCTGTAACTTAAGAACAAAATTGGTCTGTTCTATTACTATTAATAAACCCTCAAATAGCCAGTAACAAATGTCTCTTTTCTATGAAATTATGAAGAGATATAGTCTGTAATGCAATCATTAACCTAATACTCAAAGTAACTAGTGCACAATTGCTTTATTCTGTTAAAGTATGAAGAGATATATTCTGTAGTGCAGTCATTAACCTAATACTAAAGGTAACTAGTACACGATTGCTGTCTGATGAAGAAAAGAGACAAGTAAACTGAAGTGGTGTCATTAGGTGTACACCTTGTTAACAGGAGTTCTAAGGTACCAAAAAATCAAGAGTTAATGTTAACATTTTATTTTTGCAAACCAGGGACTGATGTATATATTATGAAAAATACTCCCTGCTGTGACCAAAATTGTTTTCATGTTAACCGAGTGTTCATCTTAAGCAAGTTAATTTTAGTGAGGTTTTACTGTATATCACCTGTAACTATATTAACTTCTTCTTCTTCTACTTCGCTGTCAGCAGCTGTAAACTCTGGTGGAAAGTGCGGGCTGTTCATCAACTTCTGGACATCTTATTTCAAAACTTATATTTTGCATGCACACCCATTTTACAGATCTTGCTTATTTTTGTGCCAACTGTTGGTTACTCACCTGGCGGAGTGGTGCACCCTGACATTGAAGAAAATGTCTCTGATTAGTCGACTCTTATGACATGCTTGTTGAAGGGCAGTGGGTCTATTCTTGCCCGCCTCCTCTCCTCTTTTTTCCCTCTCACCAAATGCAACCCTTGTTAAGTATAATAACAGAATGCTCTGTTCTTCTTTTAAAGGATGGAGAGACCGCTGGGAGTATGCTACCTTGTGAAGACAACAGAAGCACATCCATTGCTGGCATGTTGTGTGGGACAGCAAGGCAGTTGAATTTGGAACCCTCTGTGGAAGCTAATTTCACAGACATGATTTGGTATTTTGTTAGAAACTGCATTGACTTGAATGACTTGGTTCAGTGCTTTAATGTGACTTTTTGTTATCTGAGAAAAGGCAATCTGAAAGTTTTTGTTCATAAGGACAACGAAACTACAATAGCTAAACTTGTGAGACAGTCCTACTATGGAATGGCGTCATTTCCGTCACTGAACAGCCATCTTTCATTGCGTCTGGCTGTGGAGATTGGGCTAGAGAAGATCCGCAGAGAATACTATGCCATTTTTATCAACAATAATCTATGTACTTCCTGGCAGTGGGATTCATTTTTTCAGGCCCTGACTCCAACACAAGAAGAAAGCACGGACATGGAAGAAGTCAGCCTGCGTTCTTTGGAATCTCAGTTTTGTATTTTGAACAATCTGCACCACTGTTTAGATATAGTATCAGTGGTGGATTCTTTCACAGAACACCAGGACCTCCGGAGCATTACCAAGTATGCCATGGACTACTGTAAGACGGAAAAGTTAGCCACATCGAACCTGTCTGTTCCCATCACCGCTTTACAAGCATCGCCCATGATCAAGAAACATTCTTTAAGCTCAGTAAAAAGAGAAAGTGTCGATGCTGAGACAGGGGACTGTACTGTTATATCTCTGATGAGTGAGTTGCCAGAGGAGTTAGCTTTGCCTTCTGTGGCATCTTTGGTAGAGAGTGGAAATGTGTCATGTCTGGAGGATTCTAGAGAGTTTTATAGGTTTACCTGTCAAGAGCAGGCTGTGCACTTGGATACAGGGAATCCTGTATAGGTGTATTGAACCATGTATCTGTATAGTGAATTGTGTCTATGTATAGTGAATCATGTGAAAAAGGTCCTTTACTTCCCCCATCGGCAGGCTGAACACTGGAGGGTCCTCTGAGGCTGTGCGATGTTCCTTGCTTATGTCCTAGGCTGTTGTCTATGGGTGTGCTCTAACAGATGGTATAACCAACAAAGTACGTTGACACCTTTGTTATGAGCAAAGAGACATTTGCATGATAATGATGTTTATTGACAATAATTCACTCACAAAAATGTCCAGTCCTTGTCCCTAATCCTTCACCAAGTCCAACATTCAATCGCACCCGTATTTAGATGTCAACACCCAGAACATTTACGTACAAGCACTCAGTAGTTTTCCATCTTCCACTCCACATCTCTGGACAGGTGACTCATGTCGTTTCCCTCGAGGTCTCTCGCCACAGACTCTGTGTAGCTGCTGATTACCTGCGTAGCTGGTTCGTTGCTGAAGATGATATTTGAACTGTCGTCTTGAAGTGTTCTCTTTCGTCGTCAGGTATTCTTCACAATCATACGGAATCACAAAACACGTCCTCTCACTCTGACCGGCAAACACATAGTCTCTAATCAGAACGAGGTCTGATATTATAGCCAGGTGTTGGGCTCCATGTGGCAACACGTGGTCGTCTCCCCTCCTTGAGAACCTGGTTTTCTCCGAGTATTTGGCTTCTCTCAGTTTTCTGTCATACCTCGAGTTTTCCCCCTACCTTGTTAATCAGGGAATCCCCGTGTGAAAATATCCCACATTACAGGCTGGTTGACTCGGAATTCCTTCCAAGTACTTAACCAGTCTGTTCGTTTAATCTTTTATATTGATATGACTTTTTTATGGAACATTTGCAATCACTCACTTGGCTAATGTTATCCATCTTTATATTTATACACCCCCCCCCCTTCCCCTCCCCCAATGGTTCCAAATGTTTTGTTAACCCTGTTGCCCCAAGAAATCTCAAAACCATCACACCTGACTGGGTCCAGTTCCCTGAGAAAGACACTTAACTGACTTTTCTATAGTGATATATTTACAAGACTCATAAATAATTGCTATTGGCTGTGTCCTCAGTCATTTGAATAAAACAGATCATGTCACCTTGTTTCGTTTACACTTTGAACACTGTAAATAACTAATAATGTTAGCTGCGTATCCCTTACAGGACGTTGCAGAACTAACCCCAGCATTTTTTGGCTGTTGTGGTTTTTCTAGGAACATTTTATGTTCATTAGTTTGCCACTGCTTTCTGAATTGTCAGCTCACGGTACCACTGTCGAAACCAACACAAGACAAACCGTCTGCAGCTGGGATCAAACCCGGTAACCCGGCATTACAAAGCGCATTCGCAGCGCTTGAACCACAGATTACAACAGACAATTAATGCTCATATAAATTAAGTATAAGCCAAACAGTTTTCTGCCATTCATGCTGAACAGACTCCACAACATGTCTTTTAGGACTGTCCTCTCCTGGAAGAGCTGCCAAGCAACAACTAAGCTTTGAGGAAACCTAAGAGATCTCGAGCTGACATTCCAGTTTATGGCCCATGGTGGATTAAGCACATAACCAGAGATCACTGAAGAAGAAGAAGTACCTTTGAACATTTTAGGAGTTCAGGATGTTTTAAAATATACAGGAAGGTTTTTCTGTGAACCAAATAGGTTTTTTCTTTTTCAAGAGTTAGTTGACATCAAATTTATCTGTATGCCTTAATGATAGCGGCCATGGGTTGCGACATGTGTCACCCCATATGTTTATTTGTTTAGACCCAGAAGAATGTTTTCATGCTTCACTCTGTTTATGTTTTACTGATTACTCCTTTTATGTATCGTATGTATTTCAGAAGGATATAGCAAATTAAAAATTGTAGATAACAATTTAAAAAAAAATCTATTAATGTGGAAGTCATGGCAGCAACTAGAGCAACAGCCTGGCTAGAAACACAGACTTTCACATTTGCATGCTTCCTCAGCGACACAGTGAATATGCTAAAGAAGATCAAGAATGGTTGCATATGAAGACAATGGGTGGAGTCCCTGAATAGATCTAGACTTACCAAAATCAGTTTCATATTTGTTCCGGGGCATTCTGGTGTAAAGGGCAATGAACGAGTTGATAGACTTGCAAGTAATGCTCACGTAGGGAACGGACGAGCAGTGGACAGGGCTGATATACTGAATGCCCTCAGAGAGGCGGCTTGACTAAACAAATCAAGTAATGATTGTGAATCCGCAACACTGACGAGACTACACGAACATAACATCAAAAGAGGTGAAGCCAGACAAGAGCGCTACATAGGGGCTCAAAGAAGAATAGTAAACCAACACAGAACTGGTGTCATAAGCCACAACACGCTGAGGGAGATACTGAAGAGGTGATCTAAGCACTTATAGACTGAATGGTTTCGCTGTGCAATGATAATAATGTTGACTAATTAACTAACTTAAATCTTTGTCTCCAGTATGACTTTTAAAAGAGTGATACCTCTTTTAATGTAGCCAAAATATCTCAACTGTCTCTCTCTCTCTCTCTTCTACTTTTGTTGTTTAAAAAATAATAATCTTTTTATCAACTCTCTCTTTATTTCCTGTCTCATCAGAACCTCTGTGTTTGATTATTTTTGTCGCCATGAAATATGACCTGTTCTTCTAAAACATCTCCAGAGACAGTTCGATTTTCTAGTTGCTTGTTCATTGTCCAGGTGTTTGCACCATACAGTAGAGTTGAGTTTCTGTTTATGGCAACTGAAATTGCAATGACTAACATACTTGTCTGCCAGGCTTCCGGTCCGAAATGGCAGATCTCTGGCTGACCACTGACTCTCTTAAAAATTATTTCTAGCCACTGATGCAAATTCTGCATTTCTGGATTGGGAGTCCAAAGGTTCTGTCGCCCAGCTAGTGAGCTGAGTACTTGGTGCAACACTGAGCTGTGGATTTAATGTGAAATATGTTTTTTTGGGGTGTGTGTTTGTGTGTGTGTGTGTGTGTGTGAGACGTCTGTGTTGTGGACTACAATATAAATAGCGGGTGGCCGATTTACATAAGGAATGGAGAGAACTTATGCAGTATGCCTTGTACAATGTTGGCTTTCAGACACTACACTCAGAGAAAAGGCAAGATGGACACACAAAAAAAAAAACTGTTACTGGTACCATCAGAATTTGATGTCTTTTTTGGCACTGAAGATGAGGACGGCACATGTATGGGAGTGTCCCAAGTGCTGAGATGTCAATTCTCAACTCCACGCAGCCCAGCATGACAGTAAAATGTCTCTTTTCTAGGTGTTCTCACTACTGACAGACTAGGGGGCTGCGTGGTCTTGAGGCATGACATCCGCCTTGAGCGCTGGAGGTCCCGGATTCAAGCCCCAGTGAAGGCTGGGATTTTTTCACACAGACTTCTAGTAATTTCCCCTGGTCTCTGGGTAGTAAGACCGGACGCCTGTGTGTATTGTTGCACACGTAAAAAATGCCTTGGCAGTTGGGAATGAAAAAAAATAGCCCAACGGCGCTTCCGGGGCTAGATTTTGAGTTTAAAATCTACCCAAAGTATTTCAGGATCCTCACGGGTGCTACAGTTTGTGCACTGTGCTGAGATTCTTCAGACTCGGGCTTGAGTTAGAAGTATAACTTTAAGTTTAAAATCTACCTAAAGTATTTCAGGATCCTTGTCGGTGCTACAGAGTTCGTGCATTGCGCTGAGATTCTTTGGACTTGGGCTTGAGTTAGAAGTAGAACGGAGCACTTATAAGTTACTACCCTTGTGCCACGATGTTGATCCGTCGTCTAAACTAAACTAAACTATTGACAGACTGACTTGCCTCGAACAAACAAATGACAAAATAAAAGCGTTGGTGTGTGAGAAAAATGTATTCTTAACAAACATTTAGGAATACTCTTTTAAAAAAGCATCTTTTAAAGTTAGTTACATTTATTCTTCTTTATTTTTTAAAAATAGAGATCCAGGGAAAAGGAGGTGGGGGTGTCATAGCCTAGTTATACATCTCTCTAACTAAAACAATCAGTTGTAACTTATTGTATCAGTGTGTCATAGCCTAGTTATAGATCTCTCTAACTAAAAAATCAGTTGTAACTTATTGTATCAGTGTGTCATAGCCTAGTTATACATCTCTCTAACTAAACAATCAGTTGTAACTTATTGTATCAGTGTGTCATAGCCTAGTTATACATCTCTCTAACTAAACAATCAGTTGTAACTTATTGTATCAGTGTGTGGTTGTGATCCTCCTCTCAAAGATGACAAGAATATTCAAAAGTTATACACTGATGCATTGTGATCTTTATAAACAGTGAGCAAAATGGAAGAAAACTGCTGATATATAATATAAAAGATAAATAGTAAGCATGGGATATATATTAGAGAATTGTTATATATTCGTATTTAACAAAGAAGTTATATACACCTAAATATTTACATTGTTCATTGTGTGAACATGCATTATATCTAATTTTTAATAAATTTAAATTTTTCTTTGCTCGTACTTTGGAAATATTTGCTGAGATTAAAAGCAGCGAAATTATGAAATACTTTGATCTGAAAAAGACCCGTGCAAAATTTAACAAACAACACAAACTTCCATTACTTAAATGAAAAGGCACATAGGACAAGCTAAAGCTATTTTTATAAAAAGAAGAACATTTTTGCAGTACACCCATTTCACTGCAGGTTACAAACAGAATTCAAACGTGCTATACAGACCAAATTATAGAGATTATAACATATGTCTGTGAATCCTGGACAATTAATAAACAAGCCAAACAATTTTTTTTAGGTCTCTGAGATGTGGTTTTACAGAAGAATCTTTAGAATTCCTTGGACAATCAAAAAATAGCAACCCAGGTATTTTGAAAGAAAACATGTGTGGGGGTCATACTCTAAGCTGTAAACACACACAATTTGGTAAGGTCAAATAAACTGTCCAGCAGTTTACTCACAAGAACAGTACAGGGAACA